TATATATGTAGTACCGGTCAAAAGCTAAGACAAACTTCGTAAACCACTGTTTCCATTTTAAACTGTTCATTATTTTTTTCATTTTGTATCTATTCAGTATTTGATTGGGAAATGAACGAAAGTGCATGTAAATACCAATTATAAAAAAAGTGTAATTTATTAAAAAAATATCCTTAATTTTTAGTTTATAATTAATTTACTTTTCATCTTCTTTGTGAGATTCATTATAATTTAAGTTCATGTACATAGCACATTTAAAATATAATAGCCTTAATTTACCAGAATAACATATTAAAGCCAAAAGTTTGCATTCCTTTATACAATTTACTATAGAAATATGGGTAAAAAATCAGAAAAAAGTACCGAAAAACGTTCACTTATTATTGCACTTCATGGAGAAGGCTATTCAAGTAGACAATTTGCCTCTGAAACTAATGTTTCCTCTATTGTCAGAACTTTGCAAAGGAGGAAAGAAACTGGCCAAAATAAGAGCCGCCAACGATCAGGGAGACCTAGAATAACGTCCAAATGTGAGGATAAGTATATCTGCATTCAAAGCAAGCGGCAGCGTACTCGAACAGCACCAGAAATCAGTGAGGAATTGAATGCTACTAGGCATAAAACTGCGTTAGCAGCTACTGTGCAACTTCGACTTCGTGACTATGGTTTAAAAAGTTGTGTAGCTGCTAGAAAAAATCTTTTAAAAAAACAAAAAATAGTTAAACAACTACAATAAGCTAAAATCATGTTAACTGGTCTTTAGAACAGTGGTGAAATGTTTTTGTTTACGAGTCAAAATTTGAGTTGTTTGAAAGCAAACCAAGTCAGTATGTTCGTCGTTTTAGACAAATCAATGTTGACTATCAACTGTGAAGAATGGTGGAGGTTCAGTCATGGTTTGAAGATGTTTTGCCGGTGACAAAGTTGGAGATCTTGTAAGAAAAGATAGAATTGTGGATCAAAAATATTAATCACAGAATATTGCAGCAATGCGCTTTTCCATGTGGATAGAGAATCGTTGGTCAATGATTTTTTTTCCCTGCAGGAGAACGATCCAAAACATTCATCGAAATTGTGTAGAAGCTACATTGCATCAAAAGAAAAGAAAAAAATTACTGAAATGCATGGATTGGCCCCTTCAATCCTCTAATATTAATAATGAGCCATTTGGTGATGAACTCGATAGAAATGTTAGAAAAAGTTAGTTGCTGGAACCAGATCTCGACTGGAACATTACAAAAACTGAGAGAAAGACTGGCAAAAATATGCGCTGCTGTGATTGAGGCTAAAGGATGATATTTCGAAAAAGACGAGATTCATTTTACTGTGACGGAAGCGTCAACAGTGTGCTTCGCCAACATAAATAATTTGACACTTGTTTTAGAATAACATCTCTGACTAGGTTAATACCACTTTTCAAAAATCTTTCGTTTCTTTTAACGTACATTATAAATAAGTTGAACACATTATACTTAACAGACATAAAGACAATATACAAATAAAATGAATGTATATACAAAATGAATGTATATGATGAATGTATAAATAAAATGAATGTATATACAAATAAAATGAATAAATAAAATGAGATAATTTTTTAAGTAAAAAGACACTGAAAATATATATTCTAAATTTTGCGCAGTTAAATTTAAGCAATAAAATAAATTCGTTCGTTTGCGTTCCTATGTGCTACTATANATCGCTGTGCTTCGCCAACATAAATAATTTAACACTTGTTTTAGAATAACATCTCTGACTAGGTTAATACCGCTTTTCAAAAATCTTTCGTTTCTTTTAACGTACATCATGAATAAGTTGAACACATTATACTTAACAGACATAAAGTATATACAAATAAAATGAATAAATAAAATGAGATAATTTTTTAAGTAAAAAGACACTGAAAATATATATTCTAAATTTTGCGCAGTTAAATTTAAGCAATAAAATAAATTCGTTCGTTTGCGTTCCTATGTGCTACTATAAATCTGCCTAGAAGAAACAAATCTGATAAACTGACGTACCTGTAGTGTAATGGCAATTTTGGTAATAAAGCTAAAATATACCGCATTTAAATTATTCAATTAATAATTTTTCAACGCGTTTGGTAATGGTTTCTTGGAAATTCGGGTTTTCAAAATTTAAGTTCTTAAAACCACACATTTAGTAAAAATTGAAAACGGAAAAGTAAATTAAACCGAATATACGGGTTTTAAGACATACTCTAATGTTTAATGATGAAGTTACCAAATTTTATCACATTTACTAACAAACAGCTCTGCAATAAAATCCTATTTCATTGTTACTTTTACGAAAAGTCACTACTGAAATTTTTGGCAAAAACAAAAGCGCATTTCGATGTACCTGTTGAGCCAGGAATACGGTAGTTTTGATAGTTTTATTATGGTGGCTGTGGAATATTATGGTAGTTTTGACCATACTTTTTTCCTCAGTGTGTTCTTAAATGTATTAATCTATGAAAAGATAAGAATATTTAACATTCTGTTGTGTATATTATAATTTTAGTAGCAACTAGAAAAAATTTTTTTTGTATTAATCCAGAAATTTTTTTCTTATAACTTTAAACTTGCATGATAAAAAAGAGTTTTATTAACAAAAATATTTCGCAAACTACTGTAAACTAAATTTACAAAAAAACAACAAAAATTAGACGAATGTGTTTTTAGTTACTTAAAAACTTTTTTTACAAATTTTCAAATTTATGTGATTAAAACCAGTTTTGGATTGGAAAACTATAACTTTTCCTTGCAAAATTTTATATTTTTTTCACTATTATTATTTGGAGTAGAATTGTAGGAGCAACGAAAGAAGGTGAAATCTGTTCTAAAGTAAAAAAAAAAAGGTTACAATAAAAGTTTATTTTTTATATGTTGTAATTGCATTAAATTTTTAAACTTTTTCTCAGTGTCATAGCAGGCTAAAATATACAAGATGAAAATTAAATCAAAATTAGCTCACAATAACTTATCCAGTTAAAAAAGTAGCTAAATCCCTAAAGTTTAATATGTCAATGAAATTTCACATAAATGACTTTTAAGCCAATAATTATGAAAGTATTCGATAACATACATTACAAAATTATGTTACATAATTTATGCTTGCGTTTGAAACAGTTACATATTGACTAATAATAACATTCCATAAAAACAATGGGAAGTTCAAGTTCAACAAAACTATTGAAGCATTGAAACGATTTACTTTCTTGTTGAACCAGTAAGATAAACGCCTTTTCACCACTATATAAATGCTTGGAAGAAAATACTGCCATTATCTTTCTTTACTTCAGTAATAGAAATTGAAACCTATTAAAATGATTTACCAGGTAATATAAATTTTTTTTGCACGCTTGTCTTGGAAATTGTTGAACTAAATTCAGCAATTGTTTCTCCTAAATTCTGTTTTATAATATATTAATTTAATTTTTTACAATACATTTAACTACTTTTTCTTAAAGTGACTTTTTTAGTTATAGAAATTTTGAATCAAATTATGTGAGTTATTTAAAATTATCGCTGTACATTACGTAATAATAATATGTTAAAAACTTAGTAAACTTTTAAATTTTTGAAGATTTTCATTATTTTTAATTGTTTTTATTTTAAAAATTGAAGACAGTAAAATTTTAAAAATAATTTTTAATTAAATAATTAACTGACTTGCTTAGGTTTTTGCTAACTGGTTTTGTTAATGTTTTTTTTTGTATATTTGCGATTTATAAGGGAACTTTTTAGTTAGTTGCACTTGCATATTTTTAAAGAGAATAAGTATTTAGTGCTTTACGTTGTAATATTTTACAAATGCCTTTAAGCTTTAAGTCAATGAAATCAGAAGGTGAAGAATAAATTTTTAATTTTCAAAAGAAAATAGCAACAGTAGAAGACTTTTTTTATGCACACACAGAAAAAAAAATCTAGTATAATTATCATACTTGCATAGTAAAGGAATTTTAAAAAAACAAACAATTATTTTAGCAATAAAACTTAAATATACGGTATTTCAACAATTCATTTGGTAGTTTTTTCATTTGTATGGTAGAGGTTTACTGGAAATTCTAGTTTTACAAATTACAGTTCTCATTGCCCTACATTACATAAAAATATAAAACAAGTCATTAAATTTAACCGAATAAATGATTTTTGTACCATATTCCAAGATATCATGATGAAATTACCAAAATTTATCACTTTTACTGCCTAAGAGCATGGTAATAAAATCATATTTTGTTGTTTATTTTACCAAAAGTCATAACCAAAGCGCTTTGGTAAAAATTGCCTTGATTTTGGTGTTTCCATAAAGCTAGAAATGCGATATATTTAGCTATATTCAGTTTGTTTTGACCTTACTTTTATATCAATGCATCAGTATATTATTGAAATGAGATAACTGACATTTTCACGTTTACAGCGAAATTGAAATTTCAAAGCGCTACCTCTTATATATATATATATATATATATTTAATAGCTTATGACTTCTAAACTAAATAATTTATGTGTTAATTATTTGTTCATTTTATGTATGTAACATGTAAACGTACCGTTACTTACATAAAAAATAATTATACCGCATATTCGAAAAAAAACTTCTTTCATCTTGTTTCTTCTAGAAATCACAATATCTATTTTATAAAATCAATTTTTATTGAATATAATTAAAATTCGAAATACGTTATAATTTTCTCAAAAATATTTACTCTGGTATTTATTCTGATTCTGTTATATTTTAATGTTAAATTATTGTTATAAAAATGGCAGGATAGAGAAGCTTTATTCGTTTACTGGTGTAAGCTTCTTTTTATTTTTCTTATCATTTGGGTAATTTACAATTAGATTCTTCTCCTTACAGGTTATCATTTTAGCTATCATTAGTATCGCTGCTTTTGCACATCCACCTCTGGTAAATATCATTATTAGCTACATTTTTAAATATTATTTTAGATATTTTAAATTAATGTCACTTTTTATCATTTTTTAATACTATTTTATTATTTGATTTACAAAGACGTACTCATAGTTTCTTAAGTAGTTTTGATAGAGCTAATGATTATCTAATTCTGAAAAATTTTTATAGGCTAAGAAATTACCAACATATTCTAAATACTCAAGACTATTGAAACTATGAAACGAATTACATAGATTAGTTACGGCTTTTAAGAAATTAAAATACTGAAACTGTCTAAAATGCTTTTCTTTTTTAAGTAAACGTATTGATCTTGTATTAAATAAAAACAAATATACTTAATTCCGCTTCACTCTACATTTATTTGTACTAGACTTGTACAAGTAAACTTATGAAAAAACTTCTATTTCGTAAGCTTCATCCAGTAATAATATTTACAAAATACATCCGAATTGAATACTTTTAAATTATGGCAAACTTTTATGATATAATTTTGTTTTTACTTACGAAATATGCTTAATTATCAAGCATACTTGACTTGTATAACAGTTTACTCGTCACATTAATTTTGAATTCGACAGGGATAGTGTTCCTTTCTAAAGTAAATACAGCAAATTGTATATCACAAATAAAATTTGTTTGATAATTATAAATGAATTGATGTTAAGTCAATATGTTAGCAAATTCACTTGAAGGAAGGAATATTATATCAAGTCTCATCTTACAACTGTTTAGGAAGCTCTTTTTAAGAGCTTTTTACGCGAAAAATAAAATAGTGGAGAAGTTTCAGGCAATCAGATATTTCTGTACATCACAGTGATTTTAAGAGAAAATTCTGGAAATTTATTAAATATCTATCTGGAAACAATGTTAAGAATTTGTTTTTGAGAAAAATTAAGACTTTGAGCAAACAGGGAAATACGAGAAATATTTTAAGAAGAAGTATGAGTGAATAATGATAATAATTGTAATAACTTTGAAAAGCCATAATATTAAATTTTTTTTTTAAGAATCTTGGTCATCATGGCTTATAATTCTTGGTTACATAAACCTATTGTTACATAATCCTTGGTTACATAATCCCATTGTATTAAGAGGATCGGAAAATAATGTCGTTTCGGCGCAATAAATATTCGTTGGTCTTAAAAACCAATTCATTTTTATCGATCCATTTCGATACCTTTTCTACCCGGCATTGAACGGTTGTTGCAAACGAGGGTGAATACATTACTGATTAAAAATACAATTTCGATAACAAATATCAAATGCACCGAAACGGCATTACTTTCCAGTCTTCCTAATATAGCAATATGAAATGACGAGAGAAAATTCAGCTCAGATAGAAAGGAATTTCAATACCCTAGTTTATAATTAGTTAATTAATACCTTAGTTTATAATTAGTTAAAGATAATAAACGTTATAATCTTTGAGTATTGGCTTATAATCCTTGGTTGCGTAAACCCATTGTAACCTAAATTATTTTTTAGGATCATGGTCATCATGCACCTAAACCATACAAATTTGGATACAGCATAAAGGACAAGCATGGTGAGCAACACAGGGAAAAATCCGGAACGGGTGGTCATGTGACAGGAAGCTATGGATTTACTGATGATCGTGGTATCCACAGAGAAGTACATTATGTAGCTGACCACGGTGGTTTCAGAGCCCAAGTCAAGACCAACGAACCAGGAACCGCTAACCAGAATCCAGCAGCTGTTCACATTCATTCATCTGCTCCAGCTCATGGTCATCTCTATGGAGGATATGCTGGTCATGGACATGCCTATGCTAACCATGGACATGGTCATGTTGCTCATGGACATGGTCATGTTGCTCATGGACATGGTCATGTTCCTCATGGACATGGACATGTTGCTCACGGACATAGTTATGCTGGTCATGGTCATGAAGGAAATGCTGGCTTAGGCTATGGATATGGTGGTTATGGACTTGGTTACAATGGTCTCGGTTACGGTGCAGGATTTGGTGGATATGGCTTAGCCAGTGCATTGTTAGGCACTCTTCCTTATGCTAGATATGGTTATTAAATAGAATAGTTGTATAAATATCTAGGCAATAAAAAAATATTTTTTAAAGAAAAAATATGTTCTTATCTTACTTTTAGTATTTTTCATTAACAGTTTTAAAAGTGATGAAATTCAAGTTAATACAAGTTGCTTTGACTGAAAGAATTAATGAGATACTACAAGAATAGGCATAAACACGAATGCATGAATAAAATTCCTTATGAAATTTTCAATAAGTAATAATTAATTCTAAAATATCGATCTATATTTTAAAATTGAAAAAAAAAAAAACATTTTTTTCAAAATGTAGCATATTTACATTTATGTGTAATATTCTAAAGTATTATGTTATAAATTATGTAATATGTGATATGAATTTCATTTTGTAACAGTCTTAAATTTTATATTGAAAAGATTATAAGAAAAGTATAAGAAATAGCTATCCTAGAAAAGTAAATTAAATTGTTCTAACTTTTTACGAAACAAAATGCAAACACAATATATTTCTGCAAATTTATTTGAAGTTTTCAAATTTGCAATACAGTTGGATTAAACAAAACAATTTTAAAACACTTTCAAGAAATTATGTTCCTTAATTTTAAAGAAAATAATATTCATGTTTATAAAAATATTTTCCGCTTGGGTGCTAATTTTTTTTATAATTTCAATTAAAATGAGTTCAAAACAAGGGTAAAAGTAGAATTTGAAAGAAATATAAGTTGAATACATGTTAAATGGCACTTTAGAAAGTACAGAAATGCAAGAAAATTACAAATAATATAAAATGTCATAATTATTCGTTTTCCTAATAAAATAATTAAATTAGAGATAAGGAATAAATACGACATAACTTTTTTTCATTATATATTTCTTCGAAGAATTGTATGTTTAAAAGTTTATTTTTTATTTTTCTTTAAAGAAAATAGCAAAAACAAAGTTGGATTATTTTTTTGTTGTCATATATTAAAAATATTTCAAATACTTGATTGTATTTGGCCTTAAGAGTATCTAAACTTAAAATAAAATATAAATTATGCATCGCGAAAAGAAAAAAAAAATTTGCTCTGATAATTTATGTTTTATAACTATTTCTTAATTTTCGGTAATTTATGTTTTATAACTATTTCTTAATTAACTATTATATATTTCTTATTAACGATTTTTATATAGATATTTAGAGACATATATAAAAAAAACAGCTTTGTGGCGCTCCTCTAAATGAACTATATAACAAGATAGCACTACTGCGAGTTTTTAATGGTAATGACTTAATGAGTTCACGCAAATAAAGAAAACTATTTGTTGACACGACGAATAAATAAAATAGAAAAATCCGAGAATACAACAACAGTCAACTCGTAAATAAAAAAAAAGGGAAAATTATTAAAAGGGACAGTAGAAATTTCTTTTTTTATCACTGGTCATTTAACTACCAAAAGTTTGGTATCATTTTGAGAAAATGCTACTAATATTTCAGAGCTATAAGTTTATTTTTAATTTAAAGAGCTCTGAAGCACAAACATCTTAAGAAGTTAGAGATTTTTTTTATTATTTTTACGAAATGGAATTATTTTTCTGTCAAATAAAGAAAAAAATATCATGTTTTAGTCGAAATTAGATTTATTAATTTCGTTTTTCTCAAACTGAACTTCAATTGACGGTTGACCTTCGTCTCACTGAAAATTTTTTAAAACTAAAAGGCTAGAAATTTGGCTTTAATTATTCTTAACAATAATTATTAAAAATATATGCAATTTTAGCTTTAAGTTTTTACTTAAAAAAAGTTTTCAAGCTTTAATAGCATTAATACTGAAATTGATTAAAGTGTGGATCTTTTTATATATTTTTTTCTTTCAACTAGAACTTAACCCACCGTTAACTAATTTTTTAAGATTAACTGGTTCTCCAAGAATTTTATACCAAAATATTTTTCTGAGCTTTATTCCTCACCTCAATGATATACACAAACGAATTTGGAGAAAAAACTGAATTCATAATGAAATTACTGTTAAGATCACTTTTTAGCATCAATCGATAGACCCATTAAAATGTTTTGAAAACTGTTAATATCATCAATAATCGTATTTACCCCAGCAACTCAAAGAGCTATATATCTGGTTCTGAGATATGTATTTCCTTTTTAATTTCACACGTCCTAAAGTCAGAAATATGAAATTTTGACAACAGGTGGAAAGTAAATATTTTGTAAAATGGCATCTCCGTTTCATTAAAAATCGTTTAAAATCATTTAATATCATGCAAAAAAAAGAATATTATATGTAATATTAGTCTATCGTAGATAATATGTATCATATGAATTATAGATAATAGATAATATTGAAATCAAAAGTTTATGCGTTAGGCTCAAAATTAAAACTCTACGAAATCTACGTTAATATTCGTGAAATGAACATTGGATCTGCAGTTTAATGCCGGTTGTTAAATGAAATAGGTAATATTATTGATTTTTCTAGAGTACAGCTCTATTCAATTAATAAATTAGTTTAGCTGAGCTATTATTGATCTTTCCTAATAATTATTTGTCTGTGGTTCAAGAAAGTTAATTTAGTCTTTTTAATTATAGATTCTCAAAACCAAATTTTGGAGAATTTTTTGCATTAATACACTGGGGGATTTTTCCCTCAATGGGGTAATAATCCTTAGGGAGGTGACAAGAATAATAAATGAAGTGAATAAAAACAATGATAAAAAGCTAGCGAATATCGAAATTGATGATGTATACGATACTGATCGTTCAGAGTTCAGACAAAGAGTTACAAATTTAAAAAAAAATTAATGATAAAATAAAAAGATTAAGAAAAATTTGAAGTTTCTAAACTTTCTCGTGGTTTTTTGATCGGAAAAAAGAGAAGTGCGATAGGTGGCTGTCAAGATTTAGGAGGGGACTATAAGTGGCCAGCGACATCTAGAGGGAGCGATAGGCCGAAAAAGGTTAGGAACCACTGCTTTAATACATTGAACCGTATAGTGATCAAGTGATAGGCCTTGGAATCTTTGCCGTCGTAAATGTAATTTTTTTTATAAAACGGAACAGTTTTTTTTTTAAAAATAATTGCTAAATAGCTTTTAAAACTACATTTTGTGGCCATATTTTTAAATTTCGACTGCAAAGAATTTGTTGCTGACATAAACGAGAAGTTCCGAAGAAAATATGAAGAACACAAGTTAGTTTTAAACGAAACCATTCACTCTTTAGTGATCTCATGTCTTTCTTGAAAGTTTCATTGTTAAGAAGAAGAAAAAAAACAATAATTTATATTCACGATTTCTTTTAAACCTCACGAAGACCGGGAATTTAATTAGATTGAGATGAACAAAAATATGTAAATATGGAAACATAACAGTGATAGCTATATCAAAATTCGAAATCTTCTTTTTAATTATAAATTTAATTTAATATTTAAATTTCAAGTAATTTAATTTATTTTAAGCATATGTTAGGAGATTTGTAAAGTGTTTTTGAATAACTGTTTTAGGGTGAAATAACAGTAAAAGTTATAATAAATACATAATAGCTCATAATAGTAAGTTATAATAATAAAAGTTATACAAAATAATCTATGTATTATGCTATAACCCCCTATAGCTGCTTTATACAAATGTTCAAAAACACGCAACGATTTTATCGAGAATGCATCGCGATCACAAGTTACTTTAGCTCGTTTGTCAGTTATCGAAACTATTAGTAAACTAGTTTACGAAAAAAGGCTGGTAAGATTTATAAAATTAGATTTTTTTCATGTGACAATCTTTCATTTAATAGGAAATTTGAAAAAGTTTACATGCCAAGCAATAAAAGCTCTTTGAAATTATTTAGTCTATTTTGAGAATGTAACATTGTTTAAATTTGTGGAAGTACAGACAATTGCATTGTTTTTTTTGCCTTTAATCTCATCACCCAATTTACTTCTTTATTTGCAGCTACTAATGTGAATACTAGAGTTTGTTTTTATAATTTAAAAACTCTTAGCCATTTGTTTTTATTTCAAAATTTAATTAATGCTGGAATCATTGAAATTAAAACGATCTGAAGCAAATCAATTCTTTTATACTTCGAATTTTGATTTTTTTTAGCTATTATTTTTAACGTGGTATTATCATTTTAATTAGTATTGATGCCTCATAATGTTCCATTTTCTTCGAACTTCTGGTTGTCAAATGGTTTTTATTACACATTTAGGCTACTAGATATTGACAAGTAAAAATACCGATTTAGATTTATATTGGGGTTTTTAATGGGTTTGCTTGTACCAATAAATCTAAGCATTTTTTTTTATGTTTAGAATTCAAGTTAATGCAAATTATTTCTCGTCATATATTAAACTATTGCTCCTGCAGAGTATTACTGAAAAATATTGATACTACCGCAAGTTAGACAAGAAGATAAAAGAAATTCACGCACATTAGACATAAATGCTGCTCATGTGAAAATAAAAAAAGTTGAATTAGTTGTAACATTATTACCATATATGCCAAAAACATATATGATATGAATTTAAACAGCCGCCTGGTCGCGGAGCGGTTAGCGTGCCTGACTTCGAAGCTAATGGCTGCGGATTCAAATCTCTTCCAGGGCGTGGCTGTTTCTCTCTCTCTGTGTTATCCTCTGATGTATGAATGTGGCCCACCCTATGAACGGGTATTTGTGGCAATGTTGCGTGGGTAATGTTGCTTGCCTCCGTGACTTAGGCTCACAGGTGCCAACTGGGTAACGTTAAATGAAAAAAACACTTCTGGCATTTTCCGGTGAAGAACGAAATTTCAGTATCTGCCGTTAAAAAATGAATTTAGACAAAACAATTTAAATAAATTTAACTCAAAAGATGACCATTTTTGAAAATAGAAGCAGATGGTCTTTAAATTTCTCAAAAAATGGAAAAAATTCGAATCTTTATAGATTATTTTCTTTTATCAATCATTCATCATTTGAATTACTAAATAGTCATAACAGCTATTAAAACATAGACAGTTTCTGAAGAGTTAAAATAAAAAGTGGACCATTTTGTTCCCTTTCAGTCTTTTCAACACTGTTGGAAAAAACTAATTTTGAGCAAAAGAAATCAATCATATTATGAACGATAATTTAAATTGGTTTTAAAACTATTGTTCTGCAATCGATAAAAAACGAATAATGTTACTATTAAGAAATCAAAATTCCTTTAGTTATGGGTCATTTCATAAATAAATGTTTACAAATTGATCTCGAAACTTCTGAAAGAGAGTGAAAATTTTATGGGTGAAGCAAATGGAGCATTTTATGAAAAGTGAAAATGAAGAGCCGAAAGCAACAAATAGTTAACCATGCATGAAACATTTGAATTCTTGATCGGGTCACGATCATGTGCTAATGTCAAACCAATGGACTAAATGAACTATATAAGAACGGAATCGGAAATAACCGAAATCAGTCTTTTCTTGTATTTCGTGGGAAAGCAACAAAGGAAAAAATGATCTCACTGGTAAGGAAGATAAATATCATTTACTATTTACCAATACTAACATTTTAAAAAAATGGAATAATTATTTTGTCTAATATTTATATTTTTCAATTCTACAATAAGTACTTTCTTCGAAAAATATGAATTCAAATATTATTTTTTTTGAAATTTTGTTTCATAAAAAAAATTATATGCAATATAACATTTATAGCCAATAATAAATAATTAATATTTTCTACTTTCTGATTCAAGCGATGTCATGCATAACTACAAATTTCATTACCATTATTCTTTCTTCTAATGTTGTTTCTTTTAGATTAAAAAATAATATTTTCAAATAAAGTATGTAAAATAAAGTAAAATCAATCAGTATTTATTTGATGTTTTTTTAACACACTCTAATTTTTTCTAATATTTATTCTTACCTTATAATGTAATATCTAATATTGTTTCTTAATGTTTATATTTTCTATAATTTAAATTTTCAAATGATGTACTGATTACTATTCCTATTAAAATATTAATGATTTTTAATAATTTCTGCGTATTCATTTTGGCCCTAAAGGGATAACTTTTTCTAATATAAGTAGTTTTTAATGTGTAACTAATATTTTATATAACAATTATTTATGAAAGTTTAACTGCTGCTTTTTTATACTATTACGTCTTATAGGATTATTTCTTTTTTAATTTTAAAAGCTGACCCATTTGAAGAAAATATAGGAAACAATATTTTGCGAGTAAATAATAATCTAAAATAAAAATTCCACCATTCATTATCTGTTGTTATTTCCTACAAATATAATAATTACAAATATTTTTCAAATATTATTACTTTTCAATTATTTTCTGGCATATTTTTATAACTCTGATGACTATTTTGTGATATTAATAATTCATAGCGTGTAACAATTATTTTCTGAGGACAAAAAAGATTAAATATTTACTATTATTCTATTACTATATTTACTTTCTCCTTTTCTTTTTTTCTTTCTGATTCTTAAATGTAACTAGATCAAATAAATGAAAACAGAGAATTAATTTTCGATAAAAAGCCTTTTTGAGTGAACAAATAACTAATATTTAATATTTATTATTATTTTGCAATCTTTATATTTTTGAATATTATAATGATTACTATAGATTAAATATAATACATGATATTCATTTTTTTCTAATATTCTAGTAATTATTTTGTGATATTACTATATTTCATGAAATGTATAATTACTATTGTCGTAATAAATTTACTTTCTTTTTTTATTTTTACTTTTTGATTCTAAAATGTAATTTCATCAAATAAACGAAAACAGATAATTATTTTTCAATAAAAAATATTTTCGGGTGAACAAATAGCTAATATTTAATATCTGTTAATATTTTATAATATTTATATTTTTGAATATGTCAATGATTACTGTAGATAAAATGTAATATATGATATTATTTTTTTTTAATATTCCAGTAAAGTATTAATATAAATCAAAGTGAAACGTTTATAAATTGAACCTATTTAAATGGAGAAAATCAAATATTAAGTAACATTATAAATTGATATAACTAAAGAATGCAGTATAATGTGAAGTATTTAATAAGATATTTAACAAGCTAACTCTCTTATAGTGATATTATTCCCAAAAAATCGTAGAATAAAAACAATTCGTTATATTTAAATCTTTTAGTGCATTTTTAACAAATTGTCTTAGGTTGCAATTTTTGAAGTTTGAAAAATAACGTTACAATCAATTTTAATCTTACACATTTAACACATTTTAAGCTTTTTGTGACATTTTATTATAACCCATTGTACACCTACATGTAATAGCATTTTTTACCAAATACAATTCGATTATAGCAAAATTTCGGTAATTATTTCATTACTATGTTAGTTTCCTTACGTTTAATTCTTTGTTTTTTATTATCATTATTATTATTATTATTAATGTTTTCAAAATATTTTACGTGTACTTCCTATTGCCAGGAAAAAAAATTAAAATATTTTTTATTTTTTGTTATTTTGCAGGTATCCGTTTTAGCTATTTTGGTTGTTGCTGTGATGGCTCATCCTCCTTTGGTAAGAATTTTATATATATTGTTTAAATATTTTGGTTAGCTTATAAAAAATATGCTGAACAGATTAGAGGAACCAAATAATAATAATAAGAATAATCATAATAAAAATAGTGGAACAGATCTAAAAGCGAGCTGCCATTTGTGAACATAGCAGAGAATTCTCTAGCTATATGTGGTTAGTAGAGACTTTGACGAAACAATTGTGCTGATTACGTCAGTTGGTAGCTCGACGTTTGAGCGTTGTGCAGCACTTTTCTTACTGTTATTTTGTCTTGATTACGAAGTCTATGGGGCAAATTTGAAAAGAAAAAAAAAGTATGCTTAAAATTCTGATTTCTGACTGAGAAATCGACTCTGCTGAAAGCTTATCAAAATCTTTAATAGGCTTTTAAAAAGAACCGCAGGCAATTTTTCGAGAGATTTTGAAGCTTTAAATGAGGTGAGATGAGTGTTGAAGTTTATTCTCTTTCTGAGCAGTCTTCGATTATATCTCAAAACAATGAAAACATTGCAAAAAATTGCCAAAAAGTCAACAAGAATCGTCATTGCAAGATCGAGCAAATTTCAGAAGAGGTGGGCGTGAGTTGGAGCTCGTGTCAATGGATTTTGAATGAGATTTGAAAATACTCTGCTAAATTTGTTCCTCGCCTTCTGACATAATATCAAAATAATAATAATATCAATGAATCATCCCACCCTTCGTATTCAATGGATCTAGCATCTGCAATTTTGACTAAGAATGAAGCAAATTCCAAAAGGGAAGCGATACGATGATGTAGAGGTGGTAAAAACAAAACGGTGGTAAAACGAATAGTGTAGAGGTGGCAAAGGGGACACTGGACGATATCAAAGTTGAAGAGTTCCAAAGATGCTTCAATTAATGGGAAAAAAGACTTGACAAGTGCATTGCATCTGATTAAGAGTACTCTGAAGGTGACTGAAGAAATTTTTCATTTGAAAAATCGGGTTTTGTTTTGGGTCCTCCTCTCTCGTTTATTCCCTCCTTTTTGCTTTTCATAAACAAAATTACAATAAATAAAGCCAATATTCTTATTATAATATTTGAAGTGTATGTTTTTAAATTGCTTACTGTTCTGTCAGGGTTCGACAAAATTATCTTAATTAAAACTTTAATTTTATTTTTGGTAAGAAGGGATCTTTAAAATTATAAATCTGAAGTAAACTTTAAGAATTTATGAAATATTTTCTTTCGATGAAAATTACCGCAAACTTAAATATAAAAACTACAAATTTTTCACGTCATTCATGCAGATTTACGACCGAAATTTAGACCTTAGTTTTTAGTTCAAAACATAGCTAACGTTATACAAAATCTACATTCGAAATTTCTAAGAAATTTGCTATAAGATTATTCTGTAATGTTTGTTAGCATGAAGAGAATATCTCAAAATCAACCTTCTTCTGAAAATGCATTTAAAGTAGGTAATTACCAAAAAGTACTGAAACAATTTATTTTATATCAATATGAAATAATTCTAAATTATAACACTCATTTTAAGTTTGAAGAAATTTATAAAATTATTGAACAAAAGATCAAATATAGATAATGAAAAAAAATCGAAATTTTCTTCAAAATTACCTATTTTTACCTAGTTGGATAATTTAATATCAAGTTAGTTTTCAAGCAAACATGAAACTAAAATTTGAAAAATTAGAAACTATTATTGTAAGAAATTTTAATATCAAAATGAGATATAAATTTTATTGAAATAAAATTAGTGATCTATATAAATATATAAGGTGAATTTAACATTATTTGATTTTGATTAATCCAATTCAGCTTATAATTTATAATTTTACCAATTCACACAGCACGCCAACAAACACACAGGCAAAATTGTTTTTTACTTAGTTACATGACAAATGGTATTTCAGTTCATTTAATAGTTCAAAGAATAATAGACATCAACGCAACCACAGAGCAAAAAGTTTTATTTTAATCCTGAAAGTACAAATTTAAGGCTCTAGTTACGTGAATACTAATCATATAACTTTAGTTAAAACCTCATTCATTTTCTAGGAACATCATGGGCACCATGCAGCCATTCCTTACAAATTCGGTTACAGCATTAAAGATAAACATGGCGAACAACACAGAGAAGAATCTGGAACTGGTGGACATCACGTGACAGGAAGCTATGGATTTACAGATGATCGTGGCATCCACAGAGAGGTTCATTACGTAGCTGACCACGGTGGCTTCAGAGCTCAAGTCAAGACCAACGAACCAGGAACCGCAAACCAGAATCCAGCTGCCGTTCACATTCACTCATCTGCCCCTGCTCATGGCCACCTCTATGGAGGATATGGTGGCTACGGTATTGGAGGTTATGCCGGACATGGACAAGAATATGCCGGACATGGACAAGGATATGCTGGACATGGGCATGGTTATGCTAATCAAGGTGGATTAGGCTACGGGTATGGAGGTTATGGACTTGGACTTGGTGGTCTTGGATACGGAGCAGGATATGGTGGATTAGGATTAGCCAGTGGGCTATTGGGTACATTGCCATATGCTCGATACGGTTACTAAATGAAAATTGCTCTTAGTTATGTAAAAAATTGAAAAAATAAATTTGTTGAAAATTTTTTTTATCGTAATTTATCATTTTTGGGCTCTCATTTCAGGCTACAAAATCTTGCTTGCTTTTTTAACGTAAATGGACAAATGCTCAAAATAGTAAACTATATTTTAAAACAAACGGTGATTGCGCACTTTTTTGTTAAAATTTTTTTATTCCCACCTCATAATTTTAAAAGTAGGTGTGTATAAATCGTTTAAAGTATTGACACAGCCTTTTCCGGCTTTTTCTTACCTTTTGAAATGTATGAAAACAAACCATTATTTATTTATTAATTTAATTTAAAGATTCAGAGTATAAACTAAAAATTGTTGAAATATTGACACTGCCTTTTCTTCGTTTTTTGAATTTCCACTTTTCTTTTCGAACAACAAGATTTTGTTTGCTTTTTTTTGTATAAATGGATAAATGCTTAAAATGTGAAACTACATTTTAAAATAGACGGTGATTGCACACTTTTTTCGTATAACAATTTTCATTTGCACCCCATTGTTATAAAAGGAGTTCATAAATGGTTTCATGTATTGACAGAATCTTTTTTTTCCATCTATGAAAACAAACCAATATTTATTTATAGGTATAATTTAAATATTTAAGAATATTCTAAAACTTATTGAAATATTGAAATAGCCTTTTTCTTCATTTTCGCAATTTAGGAAAATGAAAAAACTTTTATTTATATAGTTATGCATTTTTTTAAAGATCCGAGAATATTCTAAAACTTGTTGATATAAATTCATTATATCCAAAATATAAAGTAATCAATGAATTCTAATCAAAGTTAATAATTTTTTTTAAACGGACATAAATATATTAAACATTTTAAAGACATTGTTATTCCTCAATATCAACAATGCCAAAATACTGGCCATAAAATGTGAAATAAACATCGTATTTTAACTGAAAATATTTGCATGAAATCCTTAAATTTAACATTAATATAAACTAGTGCGCATGTTAAATCTATCTATTGTTAGACTATTGTGATTTTGATAATTTGTCTTTTAATCTTGCCATCATAAATTAAAAAAAAGAAATTTAATTTAAATGTCCCACTGTACCTTGGACCTGAAATATTGTGGAATATAATAGTATTTCCATGGAAAAATATTGTTTGATTTAATGATGCAATAGATAATAATATAAAGGAAAAAAACCTGTCCAATCAATTACTCAAAAAGTTTGCATGGATTTTCAAGATCAACTAATTTAGTCGCTAACATTATTTTTCAATAACTTTTGCTTATAACAGTTACTTAATAAATTATACATAACAGGAAGAGTCTCACTAGATTTAAATAATAAAAATCAAGTTAAAAATTAAATTTTAAAAAATAAAGACATATATATTTTCTCTAGGTCTAATTATTATTTCAAATATTTGATCGAAGAAAAGGACAGTACTGCTTACGATTTACTTAAAAAGTAAAGCACAAGCCCAGCAGTTAATGAAGAAATGTAAAGTTTAATAGAAAAAAAGAAGCAAAATTGTCTATGCTACGACAAATTTAAACAATCATTATATTTTCAAAGTAACAAAATAATTTGGTGTTGTAAACTAAGACTGGTACAAAAAAGAAACGGAAAAGGAAGATGAAGTATCCTTGTTGTCAGGGAATCTATTTAATATGAAAAAGACATCCATTGTTTATTTTATGGAGGACAACTTTAGTCCAAATATTTTATACTCAATTATTACAAACAAAAAAGGTTTTGCAATTATACTTTTATGTATTATATTAATTATTTAAGAAAAAAAAGACCAGAAGGTTTAGTAATTTTGTTGAAATATTCATACGTATTTCATACTTTTAACTGTAATACTTTATTTCACACTGTCATCATTTTGCATTTCATATTTTTTAGTTTTAGAAGAAAAAATTTATGGCTTAAGTAATTGATCTTGGTGAAAAATATTTATTATATACACATACTATTTTTTTTCTCTAGAAATATATACTTCATAAAAATATTTTCTTTATTTACTAAAAAAATTACTTTTTATTCTTAGCTTTCTTACAACATTTATTTTACTTTAATTTATTAATTCCAAATTATTACTTTATTCATTTAATTCCAAAGATTTAAAAAAATGACACGTTTTAAATGTTTTTCAGCTACTTTGTAAGTTATATGTGTAATCACAAGAGAAGTACACATCTCGAAAATTCCTATTAAAACAAAGTTAAGCTTATATTAAAGAGCATGTTTGAAAATCTAGGATAAGGCACAAATTATAATCGCCATATCATGCCCCTAGGGCAAAAATATGCATCGTTGAAGTTTAAATTCATTTACTTTTAAACTTTTCAGCTGATATATATCAGTGGTGCGACGGTTGGTCCGTCCGCTTTCTACCATAAAGGTCAAGGTTACAAAATCCTTCCGGGAACGACTGATTTTCATCGCAAATTTTCTTTTCTAAAGTAGCTGATATCTATTTAATTACATTATTCATTCTGAAATTTTTGAAAAAAAAATAATAATTTGATATTTATTTCTTTTTTACGTTTTTAATTAAAATACATAGATTGTTTAAAAATTTTTGGCATTTTAAAATTTAAAATAAATTTTAATGTATTTTAATTTTTTTATTTAAAACATATAGATTATTTAAAAAATACAATTTAAAATTTAAATTAACATTTTGCAATTTTTATAAATAATCCATATATTTTACTTAAATTAAAAAATAACTGTCTTATTTTTTCTATTTTTAAAAAAACTTAATTTAAGGAAAGTAATTTAAATTTAGGTAATTCATAAATTTAATAAGACTTATTAAATAGTAATCAACCGTTTTAGAAAAGAAAATTAGGGAAAAAATTCAATAGTGGGGACTGAGGTTTGAACCCTGAACTCGGGTTGAAGGCTATCCGTTGTACTATGAATACGCATCAGCTAGAAAACTTTTGCTAGTTTAAGTGGAGTCGGTAGACCGCATACCAATAATGCTGAGACTGCCCTTTTTCGATGTACCTTTTCTCAGCATCTAAATAAGACACTGCTTCAATTTTTTTCACAGAATATTCACATATACATGTTTACCTTGTGATAACTATTAATACGTATCTTTGGCAGAAATTTTTTGTGAACTGAAAACTTTTAATTTTTTAAAAAAATTTTATTATTTTTGAGCAAAAATCTTTCATAGCTCAAAAATTATTCCTGTTAGCGCTAAAACATTATCACAGCATGCAACTGATATAATCTCAAATATTCCCAAAACATTTCAAAGTGATATCATTAGTTGTTCCCTAGAAAAGGTACATCAAAAAAAGTCAATTTTTAGCATTATTGATTATATGCCCTAACGACTCCCCTCAAAAGTAAATGAAGTGAAACTTTGATGGGGCATATTTTACCCTAGGGGAAGAAACTGGCGGCTAATTTGTACCCTATCAAAGGTTTTCAGCCATGATCTATTTAAACTTAACTTTATTTTAATAGGAATTTTAGATTGGCGTATTTTCTTTTGTGAGTCACAAATTGCCCTTCAAATTTTGAAATGTTTTATTTTCAAGATGTTAAATAAATAATTTGCCAAAAATTTGAGTTTAGTTGGGGAAAAATAAGTGTGGGTGTTTTGATAACTATAATTCTGTATGGTAGGTTAAATTCATATATATTTTTAGTTTAAGAAAATCAATTTCTTGTTTGCTTAACTTATGTATGGATATTAATTATTAAATAACCATCTGAAAGAGGATATATTAAAGAGCTAATTCTATAGTCTGGTCTATTCCGGACCAAAGTTTATTTTATGTATTATAAGTTATTTTTTCCATTTTTGTTTCTGTCGATTCCCACAGTTCTGAACCATTGTTGCAGACTTTTCATGAAGTCCTCCATTTTTCAGAAGTTAGAGTCTTTAAAGCATATTATTTAATGAACTCTTTCTATTAGTTTGTTTTTCTGCTGTTAAAAATGCTGCAAGTAAAAAATCAGTACTTAATTTTAGTTTCAGTTAAAAATTTTCCTATTTTTGATTTTTTTCAAAGTACTTTCATTGCATTGGAAACAAAAGTATGGTCAAAACTATCAGAATATGGTAAAATTTACCGTATGCCTGACTCTATGAGAACATCAAAAGGCACGTTAATTTTCAACAAAACGCTTTGGTAATGATTTTAGTAAAATTAACATTAAAATATGGTTTTGTTACCATACTGTTTGGTAGAAAATGCGGTAAAGTTTAGTAATGTTTACCAAAAGTCTGCAATTTTAACAGTGCTAGTATAGTTCGAGATGATGCAATAATGTTCAGTTTGATAAGCTCTCTTTTATTTAGTAAATGATTATTATCTTTTTTTCTTACCGGTCAATTGTAATTTTTTTCTATGTAAGCTAAAATCTAACCTATACTAACATTTAAAACTGTAAAAAAAAGCGCATTTGTAAGTGAACAATTACTTTAGCAAGGAGGAACTAAATCAGCAGCTTAACTGTCGCACGTCAAGATTCTTCCAACATCTTAAAATGGAAACGTGGAGGATTAGAATCCCAACGTAACCCTGCGTGAATCTATTTTTTTTTAATATTGAATTATTGTTATGCACATATACACCGGCTTGTGTGTTCATTACAAAGCTAGGGTTATATTCCCTCTGCCAAGTCGAAATACAGATTATGCAATGCAGAGAAAGAAAGCGCAAACATGCATCCTGAAACAGACCGGTGTGATTCAGACCCGCTACTATGAGCAATATGCTTCTCAACTTGACAAGGGATGATAATAAATCATAGCTTGTAATGAAATGAGTAAAGACGCAGTTTCCAGTAGAACACCAAAGTCAAGCATCACTGGCTGCGGTCAGTGTGTGAATGGGTGACCACCTTGATCAACCTGCGTAGGGAGCGAGGGTGAGCGATATCGGTCCTCCCTAAACTGTTCTACTTTGCTTGAGTGCTTGATTTCTCACGCAGGTTGTCGGGCTAACAAAGTAGGGGAGGAATTCCTTCTGCAGAGGATCAAAATTGCGATGGCATGTCTTTGGATCATCCTCAGGTATGTTTCCCAGACCCTCGCCAATACCCCATTCTGCAGCTCTAGTGTGACGTTAATAAAGTACCTATCTACTAGTAATGAATGAGTACACAAGCCTGCATATGCATGGGTAACATTAAGTAAGTAAATAAATTCTTGGAATTTTATTTTCCAATTATGTTTTACAATAGTCTCATCTTTCCAAAAAACGCTATTTAAATTGGAAGCAGTGGGTTCGAATCAAAGAGTAGTAAAAAAAAAAAGAATCCCAAGTGATGTTCTTTGAACCACTCTAAGGACTAGAGGTAATGGGTTTGAATCTTGCCATTACACTGGCGGCATATTTTTGTTGTGTTTCGAAAAATTGTGCCCTCCTTTTTTAAAATTGGAAAAAGTTTTTCAGCCGTTCTTTGTATTTGCAAAGAAACCCATATATTGTTTTGTAAGTCAATAAATCTCGCCACCACATAAAAGATGGATAAAATAGTCATCATAGTTTGATATATCAGAGTTTAGTGTCATTAAAATACTTTAATTAAATATTTTGAAGCCTTCATTCTTGCCAATTCATCCCTTTAACATAACTGCGAAAATGTAGTAGAATATAAAACAACTAATAGTCATCTAACTCCCATGAGCCATTTAAGTAAACCGCTATTTTAAATAAACAGAAGTGTAAAAAGATTTTTACCATTCTATTTGGTACGGAGAATAGACATCAATCATGTTAAAACTGCAAATAAATTGTAAAATTAGTCACACATGATAATGTTATCGTGATACTTTAGAGTATGGCATGAAAAGCATTTACTTAGATAAATTTACTTTTCAGTTCTGTATTTGTTACTTAATGTATGGTATTAAGAATTTCAGTTTTTAAAACCAAAATTTCCGATAAACCATTACCATAGTGAACGATAAAGTTAAAATATGAATGGTTTGATTACCGTACATTTTGGTTTAACAACCCAGAATTATGGTTTATTTTTTAACAGAAATGTCTTTGCCATACAAGTATGGTAATTTTGACCGAATATTTTTCTCTGTGTGCTAAACACGAGTTCAAATAATTGAATTTCCCATTAAATAAAATATTACCTTACTAAACAATCTAACATTATGAATCTTGACAGAATTTGTGTCGCAAACAAATATTCTTGTCTACGGGAGTGTGATCTAAGCAAGTAAGGATGACGAAATGATCCCTAGAAAATTGTTACACGTTTTTTGGGGCTGGTGAGCAGGAGCGAATAGTGGAGGACCACTCTAACATAAATTATTATTGATATCATCTGATTATTTACAATTGAAATACTTGGGATGGTTTTAGGTAAGAATGTATATGTTTATTAACTCCGGTTATATTTTCACTACTCACTTTATAAGTTCTTTTCCATAGTCTTACGAAAATTGAACGTTTTTCCTATGTATATATTAAACACTATTGCAATGACGTGTGAACTAGCTATTAACTATGCGTAACTAACTAAATGAATGATAATTAATGCAATTTTAAATTTAAATTTTGAATTTAATTGGTTTTTGGAATAGATTATATATTACACCGCAAACAAATATTATTTGACTGAGATGACGTAAGGTAATTTGAAATCACTTAAGATTATTGTAATTTAGAAAAGCATGAGGATCCGTGGGTTGAAAAAAATAATTTGCTTTATAGCTATCTTTCAAAACAAATAAATGTTTTTTCAGAAATTCAATAAAGGAATAATAATTTCATATATCAATTAAACTTACCGCAAGGAAAATAGTAATCACGGTACTGAAACTTTGTGTAAGAAGATCTTTAAACACTAGTTTAATTTTCGATAATATAAATGTCAACTGACGTAGATAAAAATATTTCATTTTCCGCAACATGCAAAGGGAATTATCGTAATCCCAGGATCAATTCAATTGGATCACGCACGAATTTAGTTTTCAGTGCCAAAATCAATTTATGTATCAAAATATTTTTATGTATGATAGGTCAAGAGAATTTTGTATAAATGATGAAATCATGACCGCATGAAGAAACTAGAAATTTTACTAAAATTACAAAATATGTTATTTGAATTGGATCAGAAAATTATTAATTTTTTAGGAGTTTGTCTGAAATTTGGAAGTGTGCGTGTTCTGATATTTAGACACTGAAATGAACAAGACAATTTTTATGCAGTACTCCATTTCATTTTATGTAAACGGATCTAAACACTTCATATTTAAAAAAAAATTGTTTCATTTAAAAAAGTGCAGTTTACGATAGATTATTTTTTAAATATTTGGTAATACGTGAGTTGCAAATCCTGATACGAATTACTGAGAAAATAGTGAGTTAAAAACACGTTCAGTACTTTGATTTTGACTCTGTTATTCAATTATTATCAATCTGGGGCGAAATGACCAATCAGCGATCAGCGTCCAGTGTCCTATGATTTGTATTTTGTGAAAGTGGAATCTATCAATCAAATTTCTAACAACTTTTCTATTAGCTAGCGCACTCAAATGTCTAGCTCAGTGAAGCTCCATGACACATAACCATACAAGTTTTAATTACAACTCTGCGTTTAATGCCAATAATAGTTAAAATTTCAGTTTTATTTCAATTACATATTTTATCTTATTTTATTATGTTTTATTTGAATTAAAATTGAAATTAAAACAAATGCAAATCTAAAATATTTTCACAAGTTTTCTGAAAAACAGAACTAAGTTATCTACGTTTCGAAGTTCATGTAATTTCCTTAAATCTTGAAAGATATTTTTTTCAGGGTACGTAGTCAAATTTTTCAAAAAAAGCACTTTAAACATTCTAAAAATATTTATAATCACTTTAAAAAAAAATCATAATTAGAATATGCGCAGCTATAAAAAGTTTTCCTTTCTATTCTTTAAAGTTCATGTAAATACGTAAAATAAACAAAAGGCAAAAACATTTTCAAAAATCTTATATAATCATGATAAAATAACTAGCTTTAGATAAATTTTGATGGAAAAGTTGTGAAAATCATGCTTTTTTAGCAATTATGACAATAATCGACATGTCAAGGAAAATATCGCTTTTTCAAAACGAGAAAACTAAAAACTTTTTATGAAACCCAATGAATAAAGCAGAACAAAGAGAACAAAATTTGACAAAAAACATATCAATGTGTTAAAAGGAGTAAAATGTAAACTTATGGAGCAATTATAGCTTCAGAGTTTAGTAGCAAGTGAATAGTATAATAAGCGAGTAAGTGGAGGAGAAAAAATGGGCGTCGAGATTTTGTTTACTCACGTGAAACCTTAACACATGAGTAAACAATACACCTCAAACAAAACTTTTTAAAACACTCATGGGCTGCAATAGTGGCACAACTTAAAAAACACGCGTTTTGGACTAATAACAGGTGCAAGTATGAAAATATACATTCTTTTCAGCAGCAAAACTCAACAACTCATAATTCAACTTGAAGGTAATCTTTGTTTTAAGCAAACTAAAGCATTTCTTATGCATTTTCCTTAGCAATGAAAACTTTAAACCCACTTATCTCGAAACATGATTTTTTGAGTTGTGCCGCTATTGTAGCCCATGAGTGAAGTATTTTAAGGTATATGTTACTAAATTACTTGAAATTGAATGACAATCGAACATAACAAAAAATAAGCAGAAGAGGTATGTTCTGTATTTTATTAGCATGCAAAAAAAGTAAAAAACGTAAAACAGAATAGCTTGAAACAGTAATATAACATATCACAGAAAAATAGCATTTCACAATAAAGAAGAAAAAATTGAAAGTAAGAAATAGTATCAAAAATTAAAATAACGGAGAAAAAATGTAGTAAAAGTAAGAAAATCTTTGGTAAAAGGCGTAGAAAATTCTACATACAAAAAATATCACTAGATGTCACAAATAAAAGAATTACAAGAAAGTATATGTGAAAGGAATCACTTAATAACCGTATCGGGCATAGGGAAGAGTACCTAACAAGGCACTGGCTAAACCGTATCCACCATATCCGGCACCATAGTATCCAAGACCACCATATCCAAGTCCATAACCTCCATACCCAGCATAGCCAGGTCCATGATCGGCATGGCCATGTCCATGACCTGCATATCCACCATATCCATATCCACCCAATCCACCGTATAGATGACCGTAAGCAGGAGCAGATGAAACGAGGTGAACGGCAGCAGGGTTCTGGTTGGCTGTTCCTGGCTCATTGGTCTTGACTTCGGCTCTGAAGCCACCGTGGTCAGCTACGTAATTGACTTGTCGGTGAACGCCTCGTGCATCGGTGAATCCATAGCTGCCCGTTACATGACCACCGGTTCCGGATTCTTCCCTGTGCTGTTCACCATGGTGATCTTTGACACTGTATCCAAATTTGTATGGCTGTGCATGACCATGGTACTCCTAAATTGAAAGAAGATGGGTACAACAAAACCATATTTTTGATATGTTATGTTTAGAACAATACTGGTCTGTTTCACTAGTTTCTACAAAAATATTTACAAATATGGGAAATACTATTTGATGAAACAGCGTCAAATCTTGTAAATTGGCTGTGGTCTTATCATGACGTTGAAATTAAACGTTGAAGAATAAACATTGTTCAGTCGAACACCAATTTCAAATTGAACAGCACTAGACAGATCATTTGTTTACTTAATTCTAACATTTAAAAGACGAAATTTTTATGAGCAAGTATTAACTCTTTAACGCTGAATTTTTATTAAATATATTTTCCCTTCGTTCATTATAATGTATTAATTTAGATAAAAATAAGTGAAACGTTTTATATTTGACATTTAAATAATGCTTAAAAATCAAAACAAAATGCTTAAAAATCAGCATAAGTTTATTTTTTTAATATTTATCGAACATGATAATACTTTACTTTATTCATTCAAATACTTATTAGAATGCTATGCATCCAAAAACAAAAAAAGGGGGAAAAAATCCAAAAACATTTTAGTTGTTAACTGTGTTTAGCGCTAAGTAATCTGAACGTGCAGTAAATGATAGAAGAACACTCGCGAAAAACTTAACCCAGTTGCCTTAGAAGAGTTTAACCATATCCTTCTTCTTACCTGGATATAGCACTTTCCGACTATATCACGATTTTGGCGACCAATCACCATTTGCGTGACCACTAGTTACAATGATGTCGCGCAGGTCATCGGACAATTTTTTGGCTCTACGAACAAGAATATTTTTGAATGTTGAGTTCATACCTTCTGATTTTATTGGAAATATCAATTAAATCAGAAAAGAAATATGATACGCAATATGAATTCACGCAGAAAATATTTGTGATACGGGAATAAAAAATGAAACAAAAACTATATAAACTTATTTCCATTAAAATTAATAATGAAATATTACCAATGGTGGATTAGCTAAAACAGCCACAACTGCTGCTGCAATAACAATGACCTGGAATAAAAAAATAAATTTTAAGTTTAAAACATCGATAAAGTAAACTATGTTTTGTTAATAAAATAATAGGTCTCGTAAAATTTTTTTGCGTTTGATTTGATTATTTACATTACACTTGAGCTACGCTATTACACTATTTGATACTACTAGAGAGTTTTTTAAATTTTGATTTGACTATTAAACTGAAAAAAAATCTAAGAAAAATGTATATCAAGATTCAAGTTAGGAATATAATTTTGAGCAATTTCTATTTTCCTAAAAATCCTTTTTCATTTTATGCTAATTAAATATGAGTTATGTTTGCCATTAAAATAAATATTAAGTTATCACTCTCCCTACTCTTAAACTAAACTAAATTTCAACTAAATTATGAAATTTTTTTTCTTTCAAATGTGCAAATTTTTGTTCATTTTTTGAGTAACTAAATTTAAAAATCAAATTTAAACAATTACAGTATTAGTTAAAGTTAAACAAAAAATAGGTATTTTTACTACAGCGATATTTAAAAAAAATTACAAAAAATGCTCGCAATTATAAAGAAGCAAAAAATAATATTAATGCTTACCTGAGAAATCATTATGATTTTCTTATGAACACTGATTGAAAGAAAGTGATAATTTGTCAGCTGATGGCGAAGTTTTTATATAGTGATTGGCCAGACATGCGATCAACCGAACAGTGGATTAAGACCTTTCACGTAACGTAATTTTGTTGTTTCTTAATAACTGAATTTTAAAACTGTGGAATGCTCCATTTATTAAATAAAGCCTTTTTCATTGCATCATTACTGTTTCTTTAATACCTTCACATTATTTATTAGTGGCATTTAACAAATAAATAATAAAAAATCCTCTTTTGCAATACCGTTGCTGAACTTTCTGTTAAGTCTCACATGAAATAAAGATACAACTGCATATGCTAAAGATTCTGTAGAAAATTGCATTTGTATGTTAAAGAAGCAAAAGTTTGATCAATCGAGGCTAATATTAAAAAAAACTCAGTTAAATGCAGAAGAGTTTCAGTGCAAAATAAAATACTAAGTAATTTTTAAAAGTAATAAGATGTAGTTTGCGTTTACTGAGTAGGAGTGTACTGCGTACATGCTATGAATATTGTACACCATCCCAGGGTTGAATATGCTTCAGCTCCACCCGTGGCAAAGAAAAGTTTTTGGCATTACGTTTTATTTCACTTTATTTATTTATTATTTTTTTATCTTTTTATTTAACTGTGGATTTCAGTTCAGTTAAAATTATTAGAAGGATAATCATGTGATGACGTTTAAAAAGTATATATATATACATCAATAAAGTATATATACTTAAAGTATATATAAAGTATATGTACACTATATATATGTACATCAATTGTACATCAATCAAAATCTACCATTATTATTTTTATGAATTTTTCAATTCGTTCAAGTTATGAAATTTTTATTATTTTTTTATTTGACACTTTTTAGAGTGTTTGCGTTATAGAATTCTCTCGATAGTTCTCTGTGAAAACACACCAATTTCCATTATAAGCATTTTTAAAGCATAAAAGAAAAACGTTGAAGAATTACTAGTAAAACATTTAAGCTCAACATCAGCAACAGGCACGTTAATTAAATGTTATAAATTACAGTACAGATCAGTTAAACAAAGAAGTATTAGCGTGAAATGAAATAGTAAAATTCTATAAGTAATAATATGTAGTTTGTGCTTACGGTGTTAAAAAAAATGCCATGTCCTACTTTGTATACCATCCCAGGATTGAAGAATGTGCTTCTGCTCCATCCGTGGCAAAAAAGAAACTTTTTGGCATTACTTTTTATTTTATTTTATTTATTTATTTTTATTTTTTTACTGAGCCAAGTAGTTTAACTCAGTTAAAATTATTAGAAGGATAATCGCGATGACGTATTTAAAAAAAATATTTCAGTAAATTAATCAAAGTCAAACATCATTATTTTCTTGGATTTTTTAATTTGTTAAGTTTATGAATTATTCTTTCTTTGATTCTCTGCTGGGTGCTAATGTTATATAATTCTCTGGGTAGTGCTCGGTTAAAAAAAACGTTTATTAATCTCATTTACTTACAAGAAAAACTTTCAAGTTACATCTAAACATATATATATATATATATATACACCGAAGAGCCATTACATTATGACCACCCTGCTAATAACATGTAGGACCACCTTTAGCCCCCAAAACTGCTAGCACACGCCGTGGCATTGATTCCACAAGGTGCTGATAGGTAGTCTGAGGTATCTGGTACCAAGCGCTCACCAACTGGTCCTGCAATTCCCT